TTGCTATTGCCAGGAACCCTGTGTCGGTTCGCTTCACGTCCTTCTCGAATCGTGCGAGTGTCTCCACTGGGATATCTCCTGTATCATCCCAGTTGGGTAGCTGTACTCTCCGTCCATTGTTGTAGATGCTTGCGGTGTGGTTCACCCAGTTGATCTCGGGGTTGAATCTTTTTAGGAAGTCTCGCCCGAAGATCAGGCCAAGCCCTTTGATGTTGGTGATGGGAAGTGCAGGTCTCCAGCGCAGTGGTCCAATTTGTAGGTGTAGCACTGCTTCGCCGTGTACTGGTAACTTGCTGCCGTCCACCATCGTTGCAGAGAATCCTTAAGGCTTGTACTCTTCTCGAAGTCGGTCGATAACTGCCTTGTCGCAGACGGTGTGTGATGCTCCGCTGTCCACGAGTGCTTGGAGGCATCGTCCTTTGCAGATGACCTCGAGCACGAGGGGCAGTCGTTGCTCGGAGTATCCAAAGATAGTTTCATTGATTGGGTCATAGGGTACATCCCAATATTCCGTACAAACCTTTTTGTTGCTATCTACTCCTGAGCTGGCAGCTGGCCGAGGCTGCTTGGAGAACGGCTCTTCTCCAGGGCCCGGAGTTTCCTTGACGACTGTGCGCGTCACTGATGCCGAAGAACAAGATGCATCCGGAGGAGGAGTTCGGGGTTTGTGCAGCTTCTTATAGACCCCCAGCTTCCTCTTGAGTTGCTTCAGCTCCACCGACGTCTTTCCTGGGGAACGGGTAGTCGTTGTGGGCTGGTGTCGGGAGAGGACGTTGACTCCGTGGAAAGGTCGGCTCCTTTCCACACTCCTTAATTTTTTCCCCAAGTTGTCCGGTACCGGTATAATCTCCACAGCTGTCTGCTTCTTTTGGGGTCCTTCCCGAATTTTCTCCAAGGCTCTAGCCCCTCGAACATCATAAGTTTTCATTAAAGCATCTTTATAAGATAACTTTAACGAATTCTTATAATTTATTGGGTCTTCAACGAGTTTCCCCGTCTTGGCAGAGTCTTTTTTCGCGGAGTCAGATTTTTCCTCAGCGATTTTCCCTGGCGAAGACTGGTCGTGGGGTGGAGATTTTCCCCTATCATTTCCTCCTTCTCGCGTCGAATCAGCTTCGTCGAAGTTGATTTTCCCGGAATCCCGCGGCCGCTTTCGGATCTCTTTATTTTTGCCAGCTAGATCCGCAATCACTGGCGACTCCCGTTTTTTGGCTTCTGATCGGCTGAAGGAATTCCGCCACTGTTGCGTGCCCGATACTCTGCGCGTGCGGCTTTCATTTTGCTGCAGTCGAATATTCGATGACCCGGCATTCCGCAAAAATCACCCTGCAACGTTTTAGGCGTCGCCAGTTCTCCCGCACATCAGCCAGCGCCGTGTCAGCCACGGCGCCTTGCTGACGCCACGCCACCTCCCCTGCACCACCCCTAGTTCCAGCCGCAGATGCTGATTCTCTTCCCGGTCGTCGCCGGGCCGTGCCATGCCGCCGGGCGCCACGAGTTTCGCCGTCGCCGCTGCCATTGCTGCCGCTGTCGTCGACCCTGCCGCCGCCACCGCCGCCGTCGTCGACACTGCCGCTGTCGCCGCCACCACTGACGCCGTTGCCTCCACCCGCCGGGGGTGTCACCGCCTCGCACGAGGGGTAGCAACCCCTCCTGCTGCAGGACCTGGGGGGTGCATAGGCTTGGGGGTGTTGGGTGTTGGGTGGGCTTGAGACTACCAAGCCTAGGGGGTGTGTTAAATTATATAGGTTATATATAATTGTAGGCTTGGTAGGTGTTACTGGAACCTAATATAGATGGTACAACTCCCTCCTTGTATCCCTCTCTCTTCTTATCTCTCTCTCTTTTCTCTTGATATTCTCCTTCCTAAACCTCTCGCCATTCTATGGCGTCTCTTCATACTTAGCTATCTCTAATACTAACCACAGATTTAAAAGGGCTTGTTAATAGCGGGTCAGTGCTGTTAGAATATTCTCCCTTCATTCTATTAGCCTACATCGTTTCATTGTCTTAGGTACTTATAAGCACCCCACTAGGGTGTATACACCCAAGTTGGGGGTTGGGTTCCCAACCTTGTTGGGTTCCCAAATTGGTTGGGCTCCCAATTATTGGAACCCCCAATAATCCCAACCAAGATTATTGGACCCAGCAATAATCTTGGCTAGGATCATTGGACCCCCAATAAGTTGGCCAACTCAACTTATTGGGGTCACCAATAATCGTGGTCACCTCCCAACCAAAACCCCCCCCTCCCTCCTACTCCTCACCTATGTATACCCACTCTTTTCCTAATACAATCATCACTTGAGTTTCTCACAAGTGCGCCCATAGCCCCTCGGGCTCTGCACCTGTGGCCCTTCCCTGAGGATATTCTCAAGGGTAACCCCAGCGGGTCACTCGACACCCCCCCTCGCTGGGATAGGTGGAAGACACAAGCGCCTCTGCAGAGCTAGGGGAATTGAACCCGATTCACCAAAACTCTGATAGCATGTCAAAAACTCAGCCACTAACCACTCATTTAAAAGGGCATGTTCATAGCGGGTCAGTGCGCCCATAGCCCCCCAGGCTCTGCACCTGTGGCCCTTCCCCGAGGATCTTTGCAAGGGTAACCCCAGCGGGTCACTCGATATGCGCATGCGGCAGAAACATGCTATGAGCTGTCTGAGAGCAGAATTTCATGGAATGAGGGCGAACGCAGTCGACAAAAGCTACGTGATCTTTCGGTACACTTCTAGGGGCTTAAATGACAAAGTGCTCTCCACAGGGGGGGGGGCTTATAATCAAATCATGCACATAAGCCCCATTCGCTGATTTAAGGACTCAGGGTCTTATTCCGGGGGGGGGGGGGGAGGCGTGCCACATTATATTACATATTACATATTTGTGTAGGCTTGGTAGATGCGCTATATTTCTAGATCCTACTATAGAGGGGACAACCCCCCCTTCTTATATCTCTCTCTCTTTCCTAGTGCCTCTCTTTTCGCTCGCCAACTCCCTCTCGTACCTTCTCTTTTCTCTCGCCAACTCCCTCTCGTAACTTCTCTCTAATTAAACCTCTCGACTTTTCTCATAGCTACCTACCTAGCTCCTGAACGCCCTTTCAATATGGTAACAGAGCAGGCCCTTCCGCTCAGGCCTTCTCGTCAAGTTTCCGCAGCGTCCTCTCTCCCCTTCCGTCTCTTATGCACCGCCGTGGCGGCCACGTCGTGCTGCCACGGCGGCCTTTATGCGCTGCCGTAGCAGCCCCGACGCGCTGCCGTAGCGTCGACGTTACGTCGTGGCAGCGTCGTCATGTCGTCGTGTCGCCGTGTCGCCGTCCTGCCATGCCGCCGTGCCATGGTGCCACCATTTTGCTGTGTCACCGTATCGCCGTCCCGCCCTGCCGTCGTGTCGCGGTACCGCCGTTCTACCGTGCCGCTGTGTCGCCGCGTCATCGTACAGCCGTGGCGGCGTTGACGTGCCAGCGCACGGGCGGCAGCGGGCCGCGCACCGTTTTAGGCGCCATCCATGACGCCCGCATACCAGCCCGTGCGCCAGCCATGGGCGCCTTGCTGAAGCGCACTCCCTCCTCCCCCTGCATCTCCCCTTACTCCAGCCGCAACTGTTGACTCAATACCCGGTCGTCGGCGGGCCGTGCTGCACCTCCGGGTGCCGCGAGCTTCACAGTCGCCGCCGCTGTCGTCGAAGCCGCCGCCGCCATCGCCGCTGCCGCTGTCGTTGTCGTAAAAGCCGCCGCTGTCGCCGCTTCGCACAAGGGGTAGAAGCCACACCTGCTGCAGGACATTAGGGTGCACGGGCTTGGGGGTGTGGCGTGTTGGGTGGGCTTGCAACTACCAAGCCTAGGGGGTGTGTCATATCATATTTTATATAATGTATTTGTGTAGGCTTGGTAGATGTGCTACATTACTGCATCCTACTGTAGATGAGACAACCCCCCTTTCTTGTATCTCTCTCTCTCTTTCCTAGTGCCTCTCTTTCTCTCGCCAACTCCCTCTCGTAACTTCTCACTCTAGCTAAACCTCTCGACTTTTCTCATGGCTACCTAGCTAGCTCCTAAACGACCTTTCAACAGGGCGCCTATCCGGATGGATACGGTACTCTGCTCTCCATCCGTCCTCACTCCAACTCGTCGGCTATGTGAATGCCGATCACGCCGCTGATCCCACTAATCACAGCTCCCGCACGGGCTTCCTTTTCACGTATAGAATATCCAAGAAATCTCAGAAGCAAGAGCTATTCGCACTCACTTCGGCAGAGGCAGTACAATGGTTGTGTAGTGTGTACATGTGGAGGATTAACTATGTGAAACATATAACATCCATTATGTTTGAAACAAAGTCTTCAATTGAGGACAACTAGCCGTTGGTTTCCCCCGCGGTTGCGTGCTCAATTTGCTGTAATGTTCATCGCTGGAGGTCTCGGGTCGCGGCTCGCTGGTCGCGGGCTAAAACATATTGAGCAACGCTGAGCGGCTTGTGACTGGTCTGACAGAATTCGTTGGGTAGTCGAACTGCCGTTGGCGGCGCAGTAGAAATAGCATAAACTCCTAAAATTTACGGAGAGCACAACAAGCTTCCCAAGCTGTCCTTATGTACGGCCAATACTGGAAACCCTCGTTTGGTAGATAACTCCACTGTGTGTGGTGCTACCGAGTTTTGTTTTAAATTTGATAGATACAGCAAGGCCAAATGTGTCTGTATGTCAAACTTGAGCTTCCTAATTCATTCGAGGCACTTTATTGTGTGAAATAGGTAAAAAATAGGCCTACACGACAAAAGGGAGACCTAACTCTACACCACCCAAAATCTCGTATCCCTCGCATAATGTACCTACCCACCTCCAGGTTGCCATTTTGTGCACCCATTGTTGTCCCCGCCAGGAAAGCCTTTTCTCGCAGAACAGTCTACTGAAATGTCTAACCCGAAATTGACGCAACGCGCGCCCGCCTCACCGTGCTCGTGCCAAACGCATTCCCCCAACTGAGAGCTAGCGCGATCATCCCCGGGTCTGGCTATAACAAATGCTGTACTAGCGTACAAGTAGTACAAACTGGTGCGACCTCTGTGGCAGGCACCATGTCTTTTCTGAGAAGGAAAGAGTGCCGGCCTTCGAGTCGAAGCTGGCAGCTTGCGCTCAACCACGTTAGACTTTCGTTCGCAATCGTCGACTTGCGGCGGCCGCCCCGCTATCCGCTAGCAGCGGTAGTTCAACGCAGCCCTCCAGCGGCCCGGCCCGCGGGGGCGCCGCCGTCGTGACGTGGCAGTCACGATCGTGACGATGATCGCCGCGACGGCGGCGCTACTACTACTGCGAGTAGCGAAACCCCGATTTCTAGCAGTAGTTGCGGCAATGGCGACTATCATTCTTCTCTGTCCTACAGCAGCAATGGGCGCCGCGCCCCACGTAGTTGGTTCCACCAGGGGCGGCGCAACCTCCGCGCCGAGTCTCGCTCTGCTGCCCTTTCTACATTCCCCCCCTCACGGCACGGCTGGGGAAGGTCCGCCGCGGCAGCACGTGCGGGCACGACCGGGGGGGCTGTGGGGAGTGCGCATGCGGGAGTTGGTGCTGTGGCGCGCCGCCAAGTTCCGGGCCAAGGCGCGGGAAGCCGTGGCGCACATGGCGGCGGGCAAGGCGGCAGCGGCAATGGCGCGCTCGCGGGCTTTAAATCTAGAGAGGGCGAGAAGAGCGGAGGGCCGCGTGGCTCCAAGTTGGACTAACCTGGCGCGCGACTGTGTGGAGCAGGTAGGACTAGTTCTTGTATGAATGGTAGCGCTTTTCTCTTCAGTCAAGAGCGGCCTCATGAGGTAGTTGCGGCCGGAAGAAGGCCGGGGAAGGGACGGGTGGGGGGTGGGTGCATGCGTGCGCGCGTGCGCGCGTGGCGCGTGGCGCGTGTGCGCGTGGGCGCGTAGGCGCGTGGGCGCGTGGGCGCGTGGGCGCGTGGGAGCGTGGGAGCGTGTGCACGTCCGCGCGTGCGCATGCGTGCGTGTGCTTGCGTGCATTCCTGCGTGCGTATTCGTGCATGTATGCGTGCGCCGTCCGCGTGCGCGCGCGCATTAGCGTGCGTGTGTACGGGCCTCGTACATACGTCCATGCGTGCCTGTGCGTGAGCGTGCGCGCGCGCGCGTGTTTGTGTGGCTCTGACTATGATGCTACCATCTCCTCGCATGCGGCAGATGGGCGTGGCGGCGGGGAGTCTGCACGAGGCAACCGGCATGATGGAGCGGGGCGACGCGGACGTGAATCTGCCACGCATTCACCTCTCCAACGCCGCCACGCTCGCCCTCGACTGCGCCCAGGGATTCGACCTCTTCGCGCCAGGCAGCGCCAGCGACGCCCACGTCAACGGCCTGCAGGTTGGCGCCCCCTGCTGATCATGGATTGCCATGGCCTGATGCCATCTCACGTCAAGCATTCGCCTCCTTTCGCCCTCTTTCCCTGTGCTCTTCGTCGCCAGGACATACGCCCTCCTGAGCTGAATGCAACGCATATAAGGTGACGAGGATCTCGACTAACACACGTGTGCCGGTCGTGTAATTGCAGAGAGCAGCCATGGCGATGCGGGCGTCGGTGAAGAAGGCGCTGCGGCGAGCAGCAGACATGGCGCGCATGATAGCAGCGGACATTGCGCACAGGGGAGCACCACGCCATGGCAACTCGTCTCACGCCTTGCCCTCAACCTCTCCGCACTCCTCACCGTCATCCCCATCTCCTTCTCCACCTCCCAGTTCGCTGCTCCTTCCTGCCCCTCCACCTCCCTTCTCTCCTCCCTCTGCCCTTCCGCCCTCTCCGTCCACCCCGCTTTCGCCCTCGCAGCCTTCATCACCACGCATCACCCCCTCTGTCACGGTGGCCCAGGATGGCTCGGGGGACTTCCTCACTGTGCAGGTGCGAGTGCAGTGTGTGTCTGTGTGCGTGCGTGCGTGCTTGCTTTCTCGTGTGCCGGTGGGCGTGCTAGCGTGGGTGCGTGCGTGCGTGCGTGCGTGCGCGCGCGCGCGCGCGTGTGTGTGTGTGTGCGTGTGGAATTCGAGGGGGCAGGTCGAGGGAGGGGGGATCGATTGATGCAAGTACAGCTTGTTAGACACTATTAGGAACCGGAGGCGTGGACGTGATTCCTTTGCGACGAGCTCTCAGAAATCTGTCTGGTGACGAAAAAAATCTGCAGCAGGGGCTCCCAGATGGAAACTGCATGTAACTTTTCTGCCTTCCCTCCATTTCCTCCTTCACCACATGCCTGCAGGCTGCAATCAGCGCGTACCCGTCTGGCTTCCAGGGGCGCTACGTCGTGTTCATTCGTCCTGGCGTGTACTGGGAGAAGGTTCTGGTCAATGCCACGTGCACGAACGTGACGCTGCTGGGGCTGTCGGCTGCCTCCACTGTCATTTCCTTCAATGACAGCGCCACGGCTGGCACCGGCACATTCAGCTCGCCCACAGTAGGTGAGACACCGCACATGCCTCACACCGTGCATGCCTCACACTGCACATGCCTCGTGCCTTGTTGCTTCCTCTGCTCTCACCGCACGCTTGGCTGAAGAAACCCTATGCACCGCTTAAGATTCTGGTTTAGAGAGAGAGAGCGCACCCTATGTATCTCTCTGCCCCTCTCCTGCCTCTCTCTGGTTTGTAGTTCGATGGGCATTTGGCATTCCCTCCTCCCTCTCTCCGTTCTCCCCCCCCCCTTAGCGGTGGACGCAAGTGGCTTTGCGGCCATCGGGGTTCGGTTTGAGAATACGGCAGGGAAGGCAGGTTATCAAGCAGTGGCGTTCAGGCAGACGGGGGACAACGCTGCCTTCTATGAGTGCGAGTTCATTGGATGGCAGGTATGGTCATGGTGCCATGGCAGGTATGGTCATGATGCCATGGCAGGTATGGTCATGATGCCATGGCAGGTATGGTCATGATGCCATGGCAGGTATGGTCATGATGCCATGGCAGGTATGGTCATGATGCCATGGCAGGTATGGTCATGATGCCATGGCAGGTATGGTCATGATGCCATGGCAGGTATGGTCATGATGCCATGGCAGGTATGGTCATGATGCCATGGCAGGTATGGTCATGATGCCATGGCAGGTATGGTCATGATGCCATGGCAGGTATGGTCATGATGACATGGCAGGTATGGTCATGATGACATGGCAGGTATGGTCATGATGACATGGCAGGTATGGTCATGATGACATGGCAGGTATGGTCATGATGCCATGGCAGGTATGGTCATGATGCCATGGCAGGTATGGTCATGATGCCATGGCAGGTATGGTCATGATGCCATGGCAGGTATGGTCATGATGCCATGGCAGGTATGGTCATGATGCCATGGCAGGTATGGTCATGATGCCATGGCAGGTATGGTCATGATGCCATGGCAGGTATGGTCATGATGCCATGGCAGGTATGGTCATGATGCCATGGCAGGTATGGTCATGATGCCATGGCAGGTATGGTCATGATGCCATGGCAGGTATGGTCATGATGCCATGGCAGGTATGGTCATGATGCCATGGCAGGTATGGTCATGATGCCATGGCAGGTATGGTCATGATGCCATGGCAGGTATGGTCATGATGCCATGGCAGGTATGGTCATGATGCCATGGCAGGTATGGTCATGATGCCATGGCAGGTATGGTCATGATGCCATGGCAGGTATGGTCATGATGCCATGGCAGGTAAGGTATGGTCATGATGCCATGGCAGGTATGGTCATGATGCCATGGCAGGTATGGTCATGATGCCATGGCAGGTATGGTCATGATGCCATGGCAGGTATGGTCATGATGCCATGGCAGGTATGGTCATGATGCCATGGCAGGTATGGTCATGATGACATGGCAGGTATGGTCATGATGACATGGCAGGTATGGTCATGATGACATGGCAGGTATGGTCATGATGACATGGCAGGTATGGTCATGATGCCATGGCAGGTATGGTCATGATGCCATGGCAGGTATGGTCATGATGCCATGGCAGGTATGGTCATGATGCCATGGCAGGTATGGTCATGGTGCCATGGGAGGTATGGTCATGATGCCATGGCAGGTATGGTCATGATGCCATGGCAGGTATGGTCATGATGCCATGGCAGGTATGGTCATGATGCCATGGCAGGTATGGTCATGATGCCATGGCAGGTATGGTCATGTGCCATGGCAGGTATGGTCATGATGCCATGGCAGGTATGGTCATGATGCCATGGCAGGTATGGTCATGATGCCATGGCAGGTATGGTCATGATGCCATGGCAGGTATGGTCATGATGCCATGGCAGGTATGGTCATGATGCCATGGCAGGTATGGTCATGATGCCATGGCAGGTATGGTCATGATGCCATGGCAGGTATGGTCATGATGCCATGGCAGGTATGGTCATGATGCCATGGCAGGTATGGTCATGATGCCATGGCAGGTATGGTCATGATGCCATGGCAGGTATGGTCATGATGCCATGGCAGGTATGGTCATGATGCCATGGCAGGTATGGTCATGATGCCATGGCAGGTATGGTCATGATGCCATGGCAGGTATGGTCATGATGCCATGGCAGGTATGGTCATGATGACATGGCAGGTATGGTCATGATGACATGGCAGGTATGGTCATGATGACATGGCAGGTATGGTCATGATGCCATAGCAGGTATGGTCATGAAACCATGGCAGGTATGGTCATGAAACCATGGCAGGTATGGTCATGATGCCATGGCAGGTATGGTCATGATGCCATGGCAGGTATGGTCATGATGCCATGGCAGGTATGGTCATGATGCCATGGCAGGTATGGTCATGATGCCATGGCAGGTATGGTCATGATGCCATGGCAGGTATGGTCATGATGCCATGGCAGGTATGGTCATGATGCCATGGCAGGTATGGTCATGATGCCATGGCAGGTATGGTCATGATGCCATGGCAGGTATGGTCATGATGCCATGGCAGGTATGGTCATGATGCCATGGCAGGTATGGTCATGATGCCATGGCAGGCATGGTCATGATGCCATGGCAGGCATGGTCATGATGCCATGGCAGGTATGGTCATGATGCCATGGCAGGTATGGTCATGATGCCATGGCAGGTATGGTCATGATGCCATGGCAGGTATGGTCATGATGCCATGGCAGGTATGGTCATGATGCCATGGCAGGTATGGTCATGATGCCATGGCAGGTATGGTCATGATGCCATGGCAGGTATGGTCATGATGCCATGGCAGGTATGGTCATGATGCCATGGCAGGTATGGTCATGATGCCATGGCAGGTATGGTCATGATGCCATGGCAGGTATGGTCATGATGCCATGGCAGGTATGGTCATGATGCCATGGCAGGTATGGTCATGATGCCATGGCAGGTATGGTCATGATGCCATGGCAGGTATGGTCATGATGCCATGGCAGGTATGGTCATGATGCCATGGCAGGTATGGTCATGATGCCATGGCAGGTATGGTCATGATGCCATGGCAGGTATGCCTCATGCTGTCAACTCGCTGTACACCCTGACCCCCGATGCTCATTCCATCTCTGGCTCCTGAATGGCAGTCTGTTTTGCACACTCACCCTCACTGCTGCACCATTCCATTCCTCTCTTGGATAGTCCCTCCTGCACCTCCTCTCGCATCTACCAACGGCCACTCCTTCCTGCGGCCTCGTCTTTCTTAGCAGCCTCAAAAGTCATCTCTCTCTGCGGACTCATGTTTTGTAGGAGCCTCAAAAGTCCTCTCCTTCCCTGCGGCCTCCCTGGCATTAGGATACGCTGTACGTGCATGGTGGGCGGCAGTACTACCGTAACTGCTACATCAACGGGTCGGTGGACTTCGTCTTCGGCAACGGCGCGGTCGTGCTCGACAACTGCACCCTGCGCATCCGCCCACACAACAACGCACCTCTTGCAGCATCGGGGCGCAGCATCCCCACGCAGAACACGGGCATTGTTATACTCAACTCCGACATCAGGGGCGACCTTGTCAACAAGGGGTTCCTCGGACGGCCCTGGAAACCCTATGCGCGCATCGCGGTTATCAATACTTCAATCAGTGATGTGGTATGATCTTCTTTCCCCCACCTCACTTGAGTTCGCTCCCGACACTGCCATTTCTGCCCATGTGCTATCATTACATCACCGGCTAACCCCTCTACCCCACTTTGTACTTGCCGCTCGCTTTGCATCTCCGCTCAGCTAAACTCAACTGGTTGGCTGGACTGGGCTGGCACAATCTACACCACGACGACTTTGATTGAGTATGGCAATAATGGGCCGGGATCCATTGGGCCGCGCATAGCTTGGGCACTGCCAGGCGTGGTGAGTGACCCCGCTGCAGTGGCCATGTTCTACCCGGATCGTTTCCTCACGCCCTTTGCCACCATCCAGAGCCTCATCCCCTTCCCTTGGATCTGACTCCCCTCCCCTCCCCTCGCTCGGCCCAATCCACTGCTCGCGTGGAGTAACGACTAGCATCCATTCGACTAGAATTCAACAACTAACCTAAGCGCAAGTTGCTACACCTATGAGACGTGCACGCTACGATTCCGAGAAAAAATATGTGAATTCGTCCGATCCAATCCTCTGCGGTGGAACAAAAGCCTGAAAAAATACATTTCTGGAATCCCTACATCTCAGATTAGTTACCCTGATTGATCCTATCAGGTATGGTTCATTTTGAGTTGTTCAACATGGTTTCCCTCCTGCATCGTTGGAAAAATATGTTCATGACCTTGTGCACAGCAAAGTTCTTCATGTGTGATACAAAGTTCTGTCCCTGTTACGCAGCCTTTTCTATTCCCCATGGGCCATGACGCATGAGAGCTCCCGTTGAGCTCCCGTTCCTCGAGTTCATTTCTATGCAGTGAGCACAGGCACCACATCGTCTATATATGGCACATCATCAACCTTACGGCAAATACAGCCCATCGTCCACTAAAGCCAACAAAAAGAGACCTGTTGTTCCCAGTGAAAAACTACACCCCTTTGCTGCTTCGCAGTCGTTCCATCACAGTCCGCCTCAGCAATCCATCCCCCCAAAACAGTAGCCAGAAGCGCTTTGCTACAAGCTGTAGCCGAACCACGCACATACTCCCTTCTCGTTCGGCTAAGCTCCTTACTACTTGTTCCTCAACCCAAACTGCCTTTAGCAAGCCTTGTAGAACTGGCCCCAAAAGAGCGACTTTCGAGTAAGACTCAATAGAGACGCCCTCACCCCCTCCACTCCTTTATTCCTCAGCCCAAACGCCCAGCCCTTAGGGGCCTTCTGGAACTGCCCCCTGGCGGCGCCTGAGTCGAACCCGGGCGAGGCGACCACGGCATAGAACGCACTGGGCTGTGCGACAACGGCCAGCGCCACGTCTTTCACCGTCTGCACGCCGTCAGCCGCAGCAGTGCTGCCGGCGCCTGCCCACACGCCCGTGAGAGTGAAGGTGTGCAGCCCTGCTGTGCGGCCACTCAGATTCCGCCCCCACGCACGCTGCAGGCGGCCCCACGCGCGCCCCATGGCGCCGCTGCCAAGAGATGAGGGCGGGGAGGCAACGGTGGTAGGGGGGGATGTGTCAAACATGTGTATTAGTTATGTTTGCATAGACTGTATAGGGTCACCTCTTAGAGGGTACAATACTTAGGTATATCTATCTGTACTCTCCCACTACTCATCATTCACTTCTCTCATTCTGATATGGTATCACGTGTAGGTTAGGATCCCCCACCTACCGCTTCCGCTCGTCCTCTAGCTAGGCCGTGCCGCGCCCCTCCTGGGCACCGTCGCGACCCCCTAGCCCCGTCGCGGCCCCTAGCCCTGCCGCGCCCCTCCTGGGCCCCGTCGCGACCCCCTAGCCCCATCGCGACCCCCCTAAGCCCCGTCGTGCCCCTAGCCCTGCCGCTCCCCTCCTGGGCCCCGTCGCGACCCCCCTAGCCCCGTCGCGACCCCCTAGCCCCGTCGCGACCCCCCTGGGCCCCGTCGTGCCCCTAGCCCTGCCGCGCCCCTCCTGGGCCCCGTCGCGACCCCCTAGCCCCGTCGCGACCCCCCTCGGCCCCGTCGTGCCCCTAGCCCTGCCGCGCCCCTCCAGGGCCCCGCTACGGCCCTCGCCCTGTAGCGCCCCTCCTGGGCCCCGCCACGCCTGCAGGCCCCGTTGCCCCCCCTGCCCGGCCCCGTCGCGCCCGCCCGGCCCCGTCGCACCTGCCCGGCCCCGTCGCACCCACCCGGCCCCGTCGCACCCTGCCCGGCCCCGTCGCCGCCGCCCGGCCCCGTCGCACCTGGCCGGCCCCGTCGCGCCCGCCCGGCCCCGTCGCACCCGCCTGGCCCCGTCGCACCTGCCCGGCCCCGTCGCACCCGCCCGGCCCCGTCGCACCCTGCCCGGCCCCGTCGCCGCCGCCTGGCCCCATCGCACCCGTCCGGCCCCGTCGTGCCCGCCCGGCCCCGTCGCACCGGCCCGGAGCCGTCGCACCCGCCCGGCCCCGTAGCTCCCGCCCGGCCCCGTCGTGCCCGCCCGGCCCCGTCGCGCCCGCCCGGCCCCGTCGCCCTCGCCCGGCCCTGCCGCACCGGCCCGGCCCCGTCGCACCCGCCCGGCCCCGTTGCACCGGCCCGGCCCCGTCGCACCCGCCCGGCCCCGTTGCGCCCTGCCCGGCCCCGTCGCACCTGCCCGGCCCCGTCGCACCCGCCCGGCCCCGTCGCACCTGCCCGGTCCCGTCGCGCCGGCCCGGCCCCGTCGCACCCGCCCGGCCCCGTTGCACCGGCCCGGCCCCGTCGCACCTGCCCGCCCCCGTTGCGCCCTGCCCGGCCCCGCCGCGTTTGCCGGGCCCCGCTGCACCGGCCCGGCCCCTGCGCTCATCCCTGCCTCGGCCCCTTCATCCTCACTGGTACGGTTCTCCCCCCCCCCCCCCCCCCCCCTCCCCCCCCCTCCCTGCACTGCCCTGCACCGCACTGCACCGCCCTGCACCGCCCCGCACCGCACTGCACTGCCCTGCCCCGCACTGCACCGCCCTGCAATGCTCTGCTTTGCACTGCACCTCACTGCACCATACTGTCCCGTCCTGCACTGCCCCTGATGGCGGCGGAGCTTCGCTTCGACGCTGAAGGCCAGCCTCTGGAGTTCGAGGCGTGGCTTGCCGACCTCCGGCGCCAACTCACTGGCCAGCGGCAGGATGGTGAACCGCTTTCCGCACACCTTGACGGTACGCTCCCCTGCCCAGACCCCCCTGCTATTCTTGTCACAGGATCGAATGTGTCGAGGAAAGGTTCCACTATCGATCGGTACAAGGCGCTTTTATACTTCCAGAGTACATCAGGTAACCAGGTTTATCTTATCCTAAGGGAATAGACCCTTCTAGAAGATAGAATCACCCTGCGTATAGCCACGTGAGGCTATTGGCTTTAAGGGATTACGGCAGGATTACGCTGGATAACGTCTCTAGTACATTCCATGCCTGGTCGGTGATATAATTATAATAAAGGAAGAGACCAAAGGATAATGGAAAATGGAAAATAGGAAACCAAATGAGATGCGGTAAAACGAGAAATGAAAAGGGAAGGAAATAAGAAAAGGCCAAGTGGTGTAACGGGGTCGTACTCTCACACTTCCCCCCTCAAAGCTGGGTGGTAGAAGGAACACCCTGCTTGACAAGGTAGTCATGCAGAGGACGACGGGCGTTACCCATGTCGGACTCAGGTACCCAGCTGTCCTCAGAAGGATCATAACCCTTCCAACGGATAAGAAGCTCCACGGTGCCATTCCGACGACGGCGGTGTGCGAGCACGGACTCGACCTCGTACTCGGGTTCATTCTGGACGAGGACGGGCGGTGGCGGCGGCGGTTGGCGTCCGACGAAAATTGTGTTCGGGTCCCGATAGGGCTTCAGAAGTTGGACGTGGAAGGCGTTGTGAATCTTCCAGGTAGCTGGCAGGCGTAAGCGGAAGGTAACAGGAGTGACCTGTGCTTCAACGAGGAAAGGCCCGCAGAAGCGAGGTCGAAGTTTAGATGGGAGATGGCTGATGTCCAGGTTGCGGGTGTCGAGGAGCACCTGGTCTCCCACGGAAATGGTGTGGTCGTTGCGATGGCGATCAGCCTGGCGCTTCTGTTGCTGTTGAATGTCAAGGAGGCGCTTATGGGTCCGATCCCAAAGTTGATGCATGGTTGTGATGAAGTCGTGTGCAGGTTGGACTGTTGCTGATGTTGTCGGTTTCTGTGGTGTGAGTGGGTGGCGTCCGTAGCAGAGGAAGAACGGCGTCTGTCCAGTAGCGGCATGTGTAGCATTATTGTAAGCAAACTCGAGAACGGGCAGGTGCAAGTCCCATTTGGAGATGTCGTCCTTGCAGGCTGCTCGGAGGAGTTGCTCAACAATTTGGTTGAGGCGCTCGGTCTGTCCGTCTGTCTGCGGATGGTATGCGGATGACATGGCGAGTTTGGTCCCGAGAAGAGACATAAGTTCCTTCCAGAACCTGCTGGTGAACTTGGGGTCTCGGTCGGAAATGAGTGTGGTTGGGATGCCATGCTGTGAGATGATGTGACGAACGAAGAGCTGTGCTGTCTCCTCGGTGCGTGCCGTCGTGTGTGTCGGGATGAAGTGTCCCATTTTGGAGAACTTGTCAATGACGACAAGGATGGCGTCATGACCGCTGGAGGTAGGTGGTAACCCGGTAATGAAGAGTTGTGCTGCTTCTTCGGTGCGTGCTGTCGTGTGTGTCGGGATGAAGTGTCCCATTTTGGAGAACTTGTCAATGACGACGAGGATTGCGTCATGACCGCTGGTTGTAGGTGGTAACCCGGTGATGAAGTCCAGGCTAACCACTTGCCATGGTTGTTCTGGGACAGGAAGAGGCTGCAGTAGTCCCGCCTTTTTCTGCTTGCTGCTCTTCATCCGCTGACATGTATCACACGAGGTGACGAATTTCTGGACGTCGTCTGCCATATGGGGCCAGTAGTAGTGTTTGGCGATACCGGTGAGCGTCTTGTTGCTACCGAAGTGTCCGGCGTACAGGACGTCGTGGTATTCTTCGAGTAGTAACTGGCGCAAAGGAGGGTAATTGGGTACCCAGATTTTTGTTGATCCTTTCCGGTACGCGATGTCACTGTCCCACTGTAGCAGATGTCGCTTTTCTGCCAAGGAAATTTCGGGGTCGATGGCGTACCCGTGGGTGAAGAGTCCCTTGAGTAGTGGATTCATCCCTTCGACCTGAATCGCGGCAACGTGTGCAGGCCGGCTGAGAGCGTCTGCTTTGTTCTTGTGGCCGGGCTTGTACACGATGTCGTAGTGGAAGTGTGTCTCGAGGAAGTCGATCCACCGGACCTGCCGCCTGGAAAGGTTGGGTTGTGTCTTCAAATATTTCAGGCTGCAGTGGTCGGTGTAGACGGTCGTTCTTCGTCCTTCGAGATAGCATCTCCACGCTTTGAAGGCGATGATGATAGCAAGAGCCTCTTTGTCGTGTATCGGGTAGTTGAGTTCTGCCCCGTGCAGTTTCTTGCTGAGGTAGGCAATTGGTTGCAGTCCATTCCCCTGGTCTTGCATCAAGACTGCACCCACGGCCTGATCACTGGCGTCTGCTTCAATGACGTAGTCACGTTCGGGATCTGGCAAGATGAGCACCGGTGCGGACGTTAGTGCTTGTTTCAGCTGCTCCACGGCTTCTTGGTGCTTCGTCTCCCATTTGTAGGGCGTGTTCTTCTTCAGCAGATTCGTGAGTGGTGTTGCGAGTTTCGCATACTGTGGCACGAACCTGTTGTAGTAATT